GCCATGCTCCGCCCGCACGTGCGCGCCGCCCCGCCGGGGAACCCGCCGTGATAACAACGCGCGTGCGTGCGTGCGTCTATTGCAACCCCAGCTAGAAAAGAACCCTGCGGCGGGGGCGCTCCCCCCCCCGGCTGCAGCAGAGTAGGTTTACACCTGCACTGGAGCTGGCCCCACGCTCCTGGGGCTCTTATACTGATGTATTCCTCTTTAAAGGAGTTTATGTCTGACCCTGTCAGGCAACTGGAGCATGTAAATGGTCTGGCCTCTTGCAGCTGATTTCAGCAGCTGGGGTGCACTTCCCTAATCAAGCACGCTGACGTCAATCCAGAACGCTGCTGCTGGAGACATTGGGCTTCCTCTAGTTTACACCACTGCACAAGCAGGATTTGGCCTCTTGCCTGCAGAACTGATGTCCGAGGGCTTCTCAGGGCTTCCCCTAGGCGCACACGATCCGCATCCTGAGCCGCAGCCAAGATCCCGTTAGAGAAACTAAAACCCACAAATGTACCATGGCTGGAACCCTTCAGATTCAGAGCCACCAAATGAGAGGACTGTCAAGAGACAATAGGTTTATGGCAGACGCTTAACTGTTTGGAGAGCGCCCCTTTCTTTGAAGGGGCCCTGATGCTGGCTGACATCCAGAGGCCGTGAAAAATCCCCTTCCCGTTGCACTAGGGGTTTGCAGCTCGGAGCTCGGGCTCGCGCACAGTCCCACAGTAAAGAGCCTTTTGGGAATGAAGCTGGTTTTGATTTAAGCAACAACGAGTCCCTGGAATGGGCATGGAGCCTATCCCCAGTTTTTGGAGCCTATCAACATGGGGGAATGAGCAGGATAGCTTTCTGTATACACGCTCTCTTGTGAAATGGAAGCTGCTGGAGTCTGGGATCATTACTGCTAGCACAAACAGCGCTCTCCTTCCAGAACGGGGACACGGCTAAATGGGACACGTGAGTTGCTCTGATCATTTTCCCCGTGCAGATGTCTTGGGGTTCACTCTGAGGGACACAGCACAAACGTGTCATTGCCTCACAGCTGTCTCCTCTTCCCAGACATGGGCCAAAAAGCACCGCCATCAAGCCTACAGGCATGTTGCACTGAATGTGAATGTATGCACCATGCAAAAGTTGTATTAGGGGCCAACAGTTGCCCAGCTGCAAGGAAAGTTTTGAAGCTTGCTTGCAATACTAGGGGAGAGGGAGAAATGGGTGGAAAAGAAGACAGAAGAGGAAAGTGGAAAGAGATGGGCAATAATGAGAGGCTGTTGCAGGAAGCTTATTTGAGGTCCACCTCGTACCCTCTGCTGTGCCAGCCAACTCGCATCAGAGCAGTCCACTAAATGGGAGAACGGGTAAATAAATGGGAAGGGTTAGAAGATAATTTGTGCTAACTCCCTGTTGAAGGTGTCCCTTGAAAATGAGACAGGTAGGGAAGAGGAGCCAAATTTCAAAATCAAAACATCTGGAAGAAAGGGTTTTAGAGAACCTAATAACGGAGGCATTTGCAAAGGAAGGAAAATTAGTCTGATGGAAAACATCAGCACAAAAAAACACTTAAAAGAAGATGAATTGAGATTCGGAAGGAAGAGCAGGAAATAGGAAGACTGAAGGGAGCGGATGAAAAAGAACAGAGGCAGTGGGCCCGACTTTCAAAAAGGCAGAGGGCCCCGGGCTGCCTGGGAAGTCCCATGTGAAATTTCTCGTCTAAATTTGCATCTACAGTCCTTGCATTTTGTGCGTGCTGTTGAACACTCACTAGCTCACTGGGGTGCATCTGCAGACACGCAGGTACAACATTTGCATAGAGATTGGGCCTGAAGCTGCATGTGTGTGTTTAACACGTGGTCCTGGACTTCAGCCTTTTGTAAAAACTGGAACCAGCAAGGATTTTTCTCCTCTTTGTTAGATGCATTGAAAGCTTTTGCCCAGCTCTCTCTCATCCTCGGTGCTGTGGTGATTTAGCCATTTCTACTTAAAATCAACCTTCAACTGTTGTTTTTGAGGCTATTAATTTCTTTTACTTGCCTGAACTGATATGGATAAATCACGTCTTTCACCTTCCTTTTCCCTGGCAGAAACAACAAAACAGCAACAAGTATAAACTTTCTATACAGCCCAGAATGGACAATTCAAAATCTATTTGCAGTGCCTGCTTGCACTTCAACATCAGTCATCTAAGACTGGAGACTCAATGTCTTGAACCCTGATCTTGCAGTCAAGTCTATGCAGGCAGAGCCCTGCAGCCACAAGGTACCCCGTTCTTGCTAGCCCAGGTATCCCTACTTGTATGGATCTGTTTGCAGGATCAGGGCCCTGGGCATCAATACTGTTATGCAGCTTCGTATGTTGTTTCCCCACCAGCTACCTCTCTGTAGCATCTATCCACATTGCTGGATAGACGCACATATCACATCAGTGTAGATGCACAATGGCCAGTATTGCATCCTGAACTAGTGCACTGCCAAAGACGGAGCCTCATGCATGGATCCACTGGTCTTAATCCCTGTATTTCCTCCTCTATGGTGACTGCTTGCTCACAAGCACAGTTAGAAAGCAAAAGGCAGTTTTAAGATGCTGATCTGCATTTTGGGGAGCTTTTGAGGGAGGGTTTCTTGTGGTTGGGAGATTTTTTATTAATTTTGTTTGGCAACAAGACATTTGGATGCTTATCTTGCTGGGCTCCTATGACCCCAGCTGACTTCCTGCCCCTGGGGCAGGGGGCTGGACTCGATGATCTTCTGAGGTCCCTTCCAGCCCTAATGTCTATGAAATCTATGAAAAAGCCCCAGTCTTGCTGGCACTTGGAAAGCCAGGTCTCCAGTGACAGAAACGGATACTTGTCTCCTAGAGACAAAGGTGGCCTGGGGCCTCAAAGTTCATAGTCTAATCTCCCGAGAGGCTGGGGTTGCTTGCATCGTGCAGTTTGTTTGGGGCCCATCTGCAAAGGCAAGATAATCAGACGGTCATTTACAAATATTTACATACTGATAATTGAGATTCAGTGACCTGTCCCCTCCCTCAGCCACCAAGGGGTCTCCTACTGCCTGCTCCTCTCCCCTTCTCCTTAGCTTCCACCTATCTTCCTACCTGCCACACCCCCTTCTCCCCATTTTGGGTGGCTTCTGGCACAACTGGTCTGAGGCTTGTGCAAAACGTAGGTGTGAAAGAGCCCAAGAAGGACGTGCTGGCAACCTCACCTCGGACTGCGACTCCTTTTTCAGTTCAGGTATGAAACGTATGGTTATATTTATACCATTTTCCAGTCCCGTCTCCACTCAGCTGCTGTCTGCGGCCGCTAGATGTCACTTGAACCTCGTTAACTGTTGTACCGATAACTTTTTATTCCCAGTATTTATTTATTTATTTATTTTACCCTAGGACACCTTCACTGGCTTGAACAGGACACCGTCAACTTGACGTTCACCTCTCTCTGAGACTGTTGTTCCAGATAACGTCCACGGTCACCAGCACTGAAAAGAGTTAGTGATAGCTGGGGAAAAAGAGAAATGACTTCTGATTTTCTTCTGTTTTGTTTGACAGCACTTTGTATAATTTTATTTTGTTCATTCCCTCGGGCACTTTCTTAAGCAGTCAGCTTCTTTCTTGTTCTTACAAAAACCTCTGCAAAGACTTATTTAAATGGAGTTTTTGTTTGAAAGAAAAAAAATTGTGGTGCATAAAAAAAAAGGAGGCTGGGGATTTTTCAGATTCATTTGAAAAATTCAAGCTGACAGTGTCCCTTTAAGAACAGGAAATGAGTGTATTTAGAAGTCTTTGTTGGCTTCCTGCCTGTTCCATCCTTCTCTGTCAATGCAGATTAGCGACGTCTGTTTTGATCTTGCCGTGAGCACTGTGGGCTGTGCGCATTGTGGCATTGGGGCCTGCAAGCACTGGTGTAACTGTGCTCGTGTGAATCGTCCTACTAGAGTCAGTCCCTTTGCTCACACCTGCGAAGTTACCGTCTACAGTAGTCTTAACTGTATTTGTGCGAGTAAGGAAACAGCTGCTCTGTCTCTGCAGCACACCAACTTGATTCACTGAACACGGGGCTCAAAATAATTGACGGAGCTCAAACGAAAAACCATTTCTCCTTCTTACACAGAACATTGTCAGAGGCTTTGGGGTGTCGACTGAAAAACATTTCCTGCCCTGAAGAGTCCCACTCCCTCGATCAGGTAGACAGCAGAGCAAATAAATACAAGACAAAACACATCTCCTTTGAATCACCTCTAGGGAGCAGGTCTTGGCAGAAGACAAGAAAGCTAGTGATGCTGTAATAATAATCATGAGAATAATAATTTTATTTAAAAAGACACCCCCTCCTCCCCCGGCGGTGTTCTGGATGCTGCACAGCAATTTTAAGTATAACTGAGAGCAGCAACAGTATGCAGCCGAATGAACAGCATACTAACAACGTGTCGTTACTTTAGGGAAGATCTTTGCAGCAGCTGGCAATTGGAAACTACCCGTTTCGGGGGCTTGTTAAAAGTGGAAAGGGATAAAGCTGTGAAACGCGTGTCTGTGCTCCTCTCACACAGCATAGGAGTGTGCAAGTCATAGGCCGAAAGGATTAAACCTGGGAGACAAAAAATTAGGGAGCTCAAGCCTTATTTTGGACTGGATTTGGCAAATGCTTACACACCTGCTTACACTTGCTCAGCTGAATCATCCCAGTGAAGTCAGTGGGGCCGTTCCCATGCTTATGTGTCCTGCTGGTGAGATCTGGGTGATCACTGCAGTGCTGAGGGCCTGAGAAGAGTGTTTCTTAATGTGGTTTGAGGGTGCGACGGAAAATTTGTGATACCGGATAAATGTATATAACTCTCTCTCTCTCTCTATATATATACCTATATACACACACATCTGCTAGGGCTCCAGGGTCGTGAATGCGAGCCCTGCTCCAGACTCCTAGCAAAGGCTGTGCTCGGTCTGCTTGTCTCGAGATAGGTACCTGGCTGCGAGGGCGGGGACGTCGCAGATGGGAGCTGTGACACCACTTGCCTGCGCGCCATTAGTTACAGAAACGGGTAGGCCTTTGTCTCGTAGCCCAGTGGACTGTCAGGCCCCGGCACGTTTTCGTCTTTGGGGAAGATGCTCAGCTGGTGGAGACGGAGCCGAGGACCCGGCACGCGGGTCCCAGTCCCGCAGCGAGCGCTCCGGCTGCACAGGGATCTGCCTGGGAAGCAGATCGTTTGGGCCATCCAGTTTGCGTGTCCCTGTTTACGTGTTGTTTCCGCTTGCGCTGCTGCCAGACGGACAGCGGAGCCGCACGGCGGGGTCAGCTCCGACTTCTGCGTACAGCTGGTTTCCCTTTCCGACGCCGAGCGTGACAGCGTTTGCCTCCGGAGCCGAGCAAGAGATGAACGTCGTTTGGAAAACAAGTGTTTGGTCGCAGACACGACGGGACCTTCTGCTAACGCCGTCGTGCCTCTTGAGCGCTTGGCTTCACGCGACTTGTAGTTGCCAGCGTCCCCGGGATACGGGGCCGGCAGCCCGGCTCCGGGCATTGACACTTGTGGTCGAAACGTAGGATTATTTTGCACGGCCGCACACGGAAGTTTTAGGCAAGAAAGAGCTAATGGCCTAGCTAGGCTCCAGAGGCTTGGGCCGAACTTTCTTCTGACCAGCAGTTTCTGGGGTAGAGAGAAATATGGCCCTGTGCCCGCTGCACCGAGGCCGCAGCCTTAGCTACGTCCCAGCCAGGGCTAAGCCAGCAAGGTACCGTGCCGCGGTAGTTTGGGTTTCCTCTCTTCTGAGCCGTGGCAGTTCAGGATACGAAAACTCACGCGGGCTGGGCGGGTTGAACAGCAAAACGGCCTTGGCAAACAGGAATACCCCCCTGCCCCGAAACCATCGGGAAGGTGGAGGGGAGCTGGCTAAAGCGTCTCTCGCTTTCGGGGAGGACGGGGCTTCACCCCGAAGCCGCTGCCGGGCCAGCACGCGTCTGACGAGCTGCGCCGTGAGCGGCTCGGAGCAAAGAGAAGGATGCGGGCCCCGAAACCCTGGAGACCTGCGTGGGGGGGTGAGAGGAGGCTGAGGCAGGCCCAGGGGGCTGGGG